TGATGATTAATGTAATATATTATAAATGCTATTATTGATATGCAAACGATTAATAATAAAACTAATAATCCTATAGCTAATCCCTTTGATATGCTTATTTCTTGATCATCATTTTTAATTGGATTTGTAGAGGTGATATATGGAGATATAGTTGAAGTCGAAGTTGGAGTTATTGTAGTTGGAGGAGTAGTTAAATTTTTATCAGGTGGAAATGATTGTGGAACGTAATTATTTACCCACGTCCAGTTTAATAAATTTAAACAATATATTTGATCATCTATGGTTCCAGGACCTGTTCCAGGACTAATTTTTCCTAAACATAATTAAAATTTCAAAATTTTTAAAAATATGTTAAAAAAGAAAGGATGATAAGGATGAAATGATAAAGATGATAGCATTATTGAAGGTCAGAAAAATCATACCAAATGCAACGATCATATTAGCACCAAAGATTGTTGCCGAATGTTGGAATCGATTTACAGGTGTGTTAGTGGTAAGAGGAGCTTCCCAGTTCCAATATATCGTATCAAGAATTGCAACGTCACCAAATATTGTAGTATTATCTATACCAGATCCACCGTATATTATAATAGAATTCTTTAAAACTATATATATATTAGTAAATTTGGTTTAAAAATTATCGTCTTAGTTGAATCGTTTCAGTTGAGGACGAGATTGACAGAAGCTGATAATTGAAGTCTCTAAAAATTTGAATCTAAAATTTGAATCTAAAATTTGAATCTAAAACTTGAATCTAAAACATGAATCTAAAACCCGAATCTATAAACTCAAAATCCTATTCTATAGCTATTAGCTATTAAAACCCACTTATAACTACTTATAGCCACTTATAACCACTTATAACCACTTATATAAAGTGATTCAAATTTCAGCTTCTGCTTTTCTCAACTTCAGCTGCAACAATTATTGATATCCCGAGTTGAAATTAATAAATTACAACCTATTTTTTATTATTTATTTATTTAATTTGATCAGTTATACCAATTATAATAAATTTTTAAATACATACCCACAGCTGAATGATCATTTCGTGGAGAAGGAACTTGACCGATAGCAGTTATTAAAGTCCAATTAACTGCAACAGAATCAAATACATAGATTAAACTCATAGGGATAAGAGATTTACCGTCAGTACCTCCTAAAATAATCATCTTATTTCCAATAACACTAGCAGTATGACGTTCTCTCATTCCAGGAGAGTTAGCTAAAGATGGTAACCCCTGCCACCCAGATAACGAAGTAGTATTTAAACTCCAAAAATCATATTCTACAAAACTAGATTGACTTCCAGTTTCACTACCCACTTCACCACCATAAATTAACATATTTTGATTTGATAATATTGCAGCAGAATGTTTAAATCTTCTTATCGGTGTTGAAGAAATTGTTAATCGATTCCATAACCTAAGGTTTGGATCATAAACTGTTAAACTTGGCATAGCAGCAGAAGCAGGATCATCTACACCACCTCCAAAAACCACAATTTTAGTATAATTTACACCACCAGCTACAGCAGAGTGATCAAATGTTAATGGCATTCCTGTAGAATCTTGTTCTATCCAAGGAGGTATATTTAATAAGAACGTATTTGATAAGTTAAGACTTATAAAATCCACGGTAAACCTATCACCATTTGTTTTTCCACCTACAAAATATATTGTATCATTTATAAGAGTAGCAGTATGACCGTAACGTGGATCAACTGACGAGATTGATTGAATTAAAGTTAGTAAAATAGATATTATGAATGACCATTTTAATAGAATGATATTATTATTATTAAAAACTTTTAGTGGCATGGATTGTTCGGTATGATGAAATATAAAACTGACTACTCTTATACTAGATTACATGAAAACAGTTTTTTTTTTTTTATAAAGAAAAACTCTAATATTAAAATAGAAAAAAAAAAGAAAAAAAATTATCAAAATTTTTTTGAAAGTATATTTATTATAAGGTTTAAAAGTAAAAGAAGAAACCGAAAAGACTAGGATATAATTAATAATGATAAGCGGGAAATCTGGAGCAATTATGTGGTGAGGCAAGCCCCTGAATTGAAATAAAAGGAATGAAGTTTAGTCAAAAAAAGACCGAATTGTGCGAGTGAGGTAATTTAGTGTCGAGAGGGGAGGGAGTATTATGTAAATTAGATGAGGGTTCAAATTTGTTTATTTATTTATATTATATGCGTGTGATAAGTTGATCAGTGTACATGTGTAAATATTACTGCGTAAAGACAAATATAGTTGTGATAATGAAACAATTTCCGAGAATAGTAATGGTAAAAATTGACAGTCAAACTATTTTGATGTTTCAATTCGTTAATATCAATATTTTTACTTTCAAGGAACATAACCATTATTCTAATAATTACTAATAATTACTAATAATTACGATTAAAATATTGGTTCATTGTTGAGTAAACGCCAAAATTGGATAATAAGGAATAGACGCACTTAATTTCATCCTTATTTATCACGCCCAGTAAGTTAAATAGTAAATAAATAACTGGATTAAAAACTTAATCTTTAATGTTTTTATGTGTAAATATAATATGCAGCAAAATTTTTTTATACACTTGTTATCCTTAATTCAATGATCACTGTTTTTCTTTTTAGGTCAAGAGCCAATAAAGGCAATCTTTGGTAACATAGAAATCATTTTTGTTTATTGGTGTACAAAACAATTTGAAAAACGTCAATATCAAGATTGGTTGTTTTTATTCAAATATAGTTCGGGGAATAAATTATTTAAATAATCAATAGAACACAATTTACTATTAAATAAATATCATCCTCCGGGTTTGTTTATATTAGTAAAATTATTTATATAACAAAAATTATTTTTATATCATAACAAAATTCTCGATATAACGTATACTGACAGTATGTAGGTATGTAGGTACTGTATATTGTATATAGATATTTTTTTGTATATAAAAAAGGTATAATTATAAGATTAATTTTTTGACAATTCTTTTTCAATTTGCATGCAATTTAAAATTCATGAATTACAGTATATGAATTATTTATTTGTCTATTTCGGCGACGATTACGTCTATTTCTGTATTTGTGAAATATCCTTCGTATCGAATACAAACATCGAAAATAGAAAAATATTACTTACATAACTTATGGGAAGAATTATTTGTATTTTGTAACAATTTGTTTTATTGTACGCGTATCATTGACCGCTTATGATATGATAAACAATTACCAGTAATATTGGTAAATTTAATCGACATTTATATTTGTCGAAATCTTAGTACAACCTCTGTAACATCGGAGTTCATCCCTCGCAACAGGTGAAAATCAGAGTTGATGAGTATTGTACAAAAATATTCATTATTTCGGTTCTTAAAATTAACGAAGCCGTGCCTAAATTCATATCGAGATAACTTAATAACTGTAATATATTGGTAAAATATCAGTAATGATAAACTGAATAGAAAAATCTTAGGAAAAAAAACAAAAAAGAAATCTTGTACTAGCTAATCAACAAATGTTTATAAAGCATAATACAAATTATTCAAATTAATATTTTTAAAATTGTCGTTCATCCGAAATTAAATATGAAATGATCTTCGTGTACTAACTATAATTTCGGTATAAACTGTGCCCTATCGTACCCTAATTCAGATTTAATCCTGACCCTGACGATAAAAACTTCATCGCGTTTTATTTGTTTCATGTTTGTGTTGCGATGATGAAATATAGCCAGGGCGGTCCCCCAAAAATGCCAGTGACGTAAATCATTTCCACCAATCAGGTAATAATATGCATAATACCAAATGTTTATACTGTAGTTTTATCTGTCACTTGGATATCCGATGATGATCGCCACAGGCGGTGTGAATTTTCTTTAATTAATAAAGTATTCGGCGAAAAAAAAGCCTTTTATTTTTCAGGTTTGTAAAGAACTTACTTCAAGAATCTATTACTGTGGTAATGGTCACCAATTGAGATTGCACGTGAGATCGCGCGTAAGATCGCGCGCGTTAAGCGTGAGAAAATTTGAAAATCCCACGTATATCTGTATATTCGAGGTTGATTAACCAGATTAACCAGATTCACCAGATTCTACACGGAAAATTTGAAAAGATCTCCTTGAGGGGAATATTAGCATGTCTTTTTTTGTTATTTCATTGAATGTTACGTGAATTTTGTTATTTCATTGAATGTTACGTGAATTTTGTTATTTAATTGAATGTTACCTGAATTTTATTATTTCGTTTAATGTTCCGTAAATTTCATTATTTTATAAAAAAAAATACTTCCATTTTGTGCGATCAACAAAATGGAGATACTTTTGGTAGTTCGAATAAATAATCTAATACTATTTTTATACCAATTTAATCCACAAACAGATTAAAGTTTACAGTATTAACTAACTGAAAATGTTTCTTTGAATAAAACAATATGACTAGGTAAACAGGCTTTAAATATCATGGGAGCATTCATAAACTAAAATTTCTACGTACAGTACGTATGATGTTGATGATTGACCATATGCATATTAGTTACTGCTCCAGACAATTATGATTTTGATACTATATATAAACATTTTAAGATCTTACCACATTTATATTGTGGACTCGTTTACTCATACATTTCATAAAAATCGACGATCCAAAAAAATTTTTTTTTCTTGTTGTCTTTATCCCATAAATTCATGCAATAGTGTTGCACAAATCTTACGCAAAATCAACAAACTATTAATTTATGGTGCATATTTGACTTTATTTGTAACATTATAAATATATATATAAAGTTAATAACTACTTATATTTTAATATAATTATATAATGCAATGCACATAATAAGATATAAACGTAGCATCTGTTGGTTCATTAAAGTCTAAAAACTGTTAAAAATTCTCATTTTATACCAAATGAAGTTAATTAATCGTTACTTATAAAATATTTTGTTTAATTTCTTTGTCGCAAAAAATTCTTAAAAATATTTTTTAGGATCTGTAATTAACAAACTTCATTTTAGATTTTTGTGTCAATAATTACGTATGTACTTACGTATTCCCCCGAAATCAATATCTGATATCGTAATATGAAATTGAAAAAAATAGGGTAGAGAGTGCTATGCTTATTTTCCACATTTGTGATAAATTATAAGTTTCTTTTTTTTACTATAAAGGTGTAACAAATTTAGATCGTTTTCTTGTTACACTTAAAAGTTGATTATTATGATCACATGATATTTTTTTTATTTCTCTCGTGATAAATATTACTGTATATAATACTATCGTGATAGTCATTTGATTGTCTTTGCGTCATCTCCAGTGACCTTAATCATAACGTTAACGTTATCTTTAAATCCACATCACCTTTCACCGAGAATTAATTCGCAAAGTTTATTTCGTTTATTTCATAGAATAAATACTGTAGCTTATTTCATTTTACAGAAAAGTTTTGTTCTTATAATTTGCACTAGCTTAACCTTTTTCTAATCTAATCTAATCCCAATCCTAATGAGGGTTTTAAATTGTGCATTTTATAAAAAAATAAATAGAATTTTTCCAAAGCATTTTTGTTTTATCGAATTATAAGCCAGAAAATTAAATTAGCTTTAAAAATGTCCAGTTTTTGATTGGCTCTTAATAATGTCAAAGAATTGGTTTTTTCCAGCTCATTAGTGATAGAAAGTAGAAATAATGTTTAATATTTTACCAGTAATATATTAGTTGTAAGGATTATAGATCAATTATATAATATTTTAATTTTATTTACTACATTTATTTATTTATTTATTTAAACTAATAAAATAAAATAAATAAAAATAAGGTATTATTTTTTTAAAACAATATTTTATATTACTATATTAATTTTATTAATGGTTAAATATTATAATTGAATATATGGATCAATAAAAAATCATTTTTAGTAGCTCTTCTAAAATTTTAATTAAATTTATTTCAAACTAAAATCAAAAAAATATCTCTAAGGTGATTCAGAATCTATTTCGAAAATAAGTGGGTGTTTAAAAAACGTATCTCAATTTTGAAATTCCGAATCAAGTGTATTTTTTCAATGATATATTATCATCACGTGAAAAAATTTAATAGATTACTTTTCGTTATTTCGAAACAAATAAGGCACTAATTTTTATTCAAAATCAAGAAAATGTTTTTAGTTTATATAAAAAAAATTTTTTCATATGAAAGTTACAATTAAAATTTATTTATTTCACAAGTTAATAATCAAAAAAAATTTTTTTTTTATATAAATAAGTTAAAGTTTTTGCAAGCATAAAGCTAAAGTAACAAACAAATATGCTCTTTCTATTCTATTAAACAGAATTGATATTGCAATAGTTAAATAAAGCAATATAAAAAAAATCAAGATGGTAAAATAACCTTAATATTGATGTTATAATGTGATTGACTATTGAAATTATGAATAATTATATAAATAATATATAACATATATATGTTATACGTATATATATAAAATATACATATATATATAAATACATACATATATATATATATAAAATATACATATGTATATAAAAACATTTGATAACATGCGTTTGAAATATCTATCGTACGTACGTACGTACATATTTTCACTAAATAACGCCCAGCTGCATGTTATTTCGAGTCTTTACGTGTAAAAATTAGGGGTGCTTATCAGTTATTTCCATACGTACGAACATACGTACATACATACCAGATACATACCAGATACATACCTGATACATACCTGATACATACGTACGTACGTAATATGTTTAGGGGTGTGGCATAATTTTAGGGATATTTATTTCAGGGTGTGATTATTTTT